GAGTTTGGATTAGAGTTAGAGTTAGAAGTAGGACTTATATTTGGGAGATACTATTTAGAAATACTAATTTCTTATTGTAAACTTCAACTGTGATCCTACCTATAAACTCTGACATTCAACAATTAATTGCTCATCCAATAATACAATACAATATACTTTGTGAATTATTGATTCTATAGTAGAATTCACTCATTTGTATTTGTCGTTTAGTGATTGTTTTGAACTTGTCAAAATTTGAATGACACTCGATAATAAATAGTTTGACTTTGCTTAGGAAGACTGTTGAGTAGTAGTAGTAGTAGTAGCATTGTTGTGTGTTTATCAGATTACTGTGAAGATTTTAATGAGGATTGTGAATAGAGTTTCTATTGTCTACAATGAATGTGTTCAAGTGTAGTGAAAATGTATTGAATTGAAGAATGAAAATAGTGTATGGTGACCAGTTTACAGTTGTTTTAACATAACTTTGCTTATTTAATTTACCTCACACTTCAACTTGTTCTCCATCTCATCAACCTTGTCATGGTTGAGATGTCAACTAATATGGACTTACTTTGAGTATTGATGCATTCATCAGAAGCGATGAACACTGAAAATATATGTTCATTTCTTTGTAATTCTATGGATACTCACCAGAATAGCACTAAACTCTTCATAAAATAAACAAATGACTCAACAGTGAATGAATCATTATTGTTAGTTTGAAGAATCGGTGTATTACTCACATATAGCATAGATCATTGTTATTATATCGATATCTGAGTCAGTGTGAACACTGGAATGCACGTTTATTCTACAAACAGTTTTATTTCTCTCCTAACAATAACGCCTCTTACACGTAACAACTTTGATCAAGCATTAGAATAGGTAAGAGCGATTGAATGAGATAGTAGATTGTAACACATTTTCAAGTTGAAACTTATCTCTTTGAAGTCACTATTCTCCTCCAATCAATTTTCATCAGAAACTTGGTTATTTAATATGATCATTCATTCATCACAAACAAGATACGAACAATTCTGATAGACCAGACCAACATGACATTTATCACTAATCAATATATAGACAATTATATAGAACAAAATGTTTCCGGTTCGATAATTCCATACCCGGAAATCTGATGTCATATTCATTGTTTAATTATCAAATATTAGTGTATAACAGAAATTATATTTTACTTTCTTTGTATCCAACGTAAAATTAATAATAAAAAAGATAAGTCACCTCTGGTATTTGACTCTTCTTAACTGTTCGCATTCTAGATCGTATATGTACCAAAAGAAGAAAACTTAAATTAAGATTGGTGTTCGTGTGATTTTTTTTCTAAACCACTAACAGTTAACCTTCATCAAATGGATCAAGATTGAAAATATTAATTTTTTGAAAACTTTCGTCCGCTTTTTTCTTTCTTCCTCATTTTGTCTTGTTGTTGTTGTTGTTTTTGTTGTTGTGTAATGCACATTCCACCGGTATGTCCTTTCTGTCACTTTTTTTTAAAGCCAGATTTTTTCATTGTGAAAATTGAATTTCTCCATGGCATTTAAAATACAAAAATAAGTGTCATTGATCAGTTCAGTTCAGTTCAGTTTGTTTTTTCGGTGTGATTTACTGAAAGTACACATATTTTAATAATGTTTTATTCAATTTAGTTGTTTTTCTCTTCGAAATATTCATTTGAAGAGAGGAATTGGTGGGTTGGAATGTGTATTCTCAAGTAAGACATGATAATATGTCTGATAATGACAAAGAGATTTGATGGGATAATTTAAAAAATAAACTTCTTTCTGCCTAAATAACTAACTAAATAACATGACACTTGTACATTTATCTAGAACATAGATCAGGAAGGAATAGTGTGGAGGAGTATGACGCTGTTGTAGGTATTTTCAATTGAATTCTGATCAATTTTATTTGGGATATGTATATTCTGTGACTATTACCTCGATATAGCAGTTATGTCACATGTTTTTATGTAATAGACGGAATGCGGTTATCAGTGGAGTCTAAGTTAGGCATTTATTTGCTTATGTGGTACTCGTCAACTGACTTCTAATGTTCATCTTGCAACCTTTGATTCTACTATTAGCCACAATTTCATAAAAATGTTGATAAAATGACTATAATGTGACAACTTGTCCAGGATGCATTTATGCCAACTAACACTAATCAAATGAAATCGAGAATAGCAATAACGGGACTATTCAAACCTATACTAATAATGATGTGAAGATTATACCCACCGAACAAGCCAGTGGCTATTTGGACTTAGTAACCCAGTGGATAACGCATTTAAAGCACATGTTTTAGTCCTGGGGTGAACATAAACCATGAGATGCAGGTACACCCGGCTGAATAGTCTCACGTTAAATGAAATCCATGTCCTCGATTTTTTTTACTAGCAAAATTCTGTCTATTCTTTAGAAAATTGTAGGAGAATGTTGTGACCATATGGATAGATTAAAACTGAACAAACAAGGACTCCCACTTTCCTTGTACTTTGTGTTATACACTGTCTGCAGAGATATGTATATAACCTGTTGTTTATCTGGAATACATCCTTGCCTTTCAAAATTCTATTGTATGATGTCTCACTGTGAACTATATTCCTATTGTTGTGCGTTTCACCACAAAAGTCAACAGTCAGTATCTCGTATAAGTGTTGAAAATAGATATTCTCTGCCGGGGTAAAGAATGTTGTATACCGATAAAATAAATGATATTCATGCTGTGCTTGACTAGTTCATGACCAATTTTCTTAAATGAATATTTGAATTATTTACGCAACTCATACGGACAATTAATGAGGTCTTTTTTGAATACATCTATTGTTATTAGTTTTTTTCCATTGAATATTTCATCAGTCTCTATATTGACTCGTCATGATTGAAATATAAGTTATATATGTTAAGAATACCCAAAACATTTTGGGAAAGCCTTCAAAAGCTTGTTAAAAGCTTAAAATACTTCATCCATCTATAGTTCGCTGAACATTTCTCAGAGAACTCCGTAAAAACAGTGAATTTTGTATCATATATATATTTTGTTAACAACTTTGGCGCATTTCTAGAAGCCTATTTAACATCATGGTCACATGCAAGCCCATAAATATCCCTGTCTTCCTTGATTAAATAACTGTGAAAGTAAAGATTCTTTTCATACTTCGCTCTTTTTATCTTCTGTTTAGCGCTCCAACGTAAAAAACGTTCTTCGAGAGCAGGAAAAGTTTAGAAATTCAGCGTCAAGCATTCAAATACCAGACTTATAGGATGAAATGTATTGGTCGAATTTTGTAGTTTAGTTAAAAAAAATTGAACCACTCCAAGTTCAAGAGATAAACTATTATCCAAAGGATTACATAATTTATTATGAAAATAAAAATGTCGTTTATATACAAAATATGCTATGCAGTTCACTTGTTTTGTATTCAAATGATGCCCATCAAAAGTAATCAATATTCACGGGTACGAAGAGATACGTATACCATCAGTGAAAAGTCTAGAAATATGCTGTGAAGTGGTTGATCACCAAGTAGTGATCGATGTCATATTTATCTAGCTTTTCAGCGCTAATCAAGTTCTATCAATCAAATTGAAATTTGGTCATCTAATCTAGATGACTCGAAACCATATGCGCTACATTTTGATGTCATGTGGTTGGGATAAGTTGGTAGGGTATGTTTTCCCCACATCATGGTGATTTATTCATTTCACATATCAAATATTGTATAGCTTTATGAATATACAACTAACCAGTTCATATTTTATATGATATGTGATATTATGGTACACTCCCAAACATTTCAGACAGCATTACTGTTGATGAAAAACAGTACAATTTTCCTTGTATTATTATTACTATGGTTTCGAATTATACAATGGTTACTTAAAATTGAATCTTGATCAATGTTTATCGATATATGTACAACCTGAATGGGTCACTTCAATATTACCATTAGTTATGGGACAGGTGAACCCAACTGATAAGTCTCAAATTTGAACAGAATAATTATCCTAAAACTTCATTGTTAACCACAGTTCCAACTTTATTAATAGCATTTTATGTCAGAAGGAGTTTGTGGAGATTTTAGAAATTTCACAGATTGAAATCATGAGTCAATTGAAGCTAGATCACCGTGGAAAATCTGGAAACACCGGACAGCCGTTTTGTCCTAGTACAGGTCTCCTCAGCAGTGCTCATCAAAGATCCGGCGCCCCGCGAGATTCGAACCCAGGACCTACCAGTCTCGCACCAGGCGCTTAAACAACTAGACCACTGAACCGGCATCTGACGGTGTTAATGTCTAACTTCAACCAATCCACGAAGTGAGAAGCCGTTACCGGTGGAGTTCAGCCAGGTCTGTTGTGAGATATCAGCTCACTGAGGACAATGGTGTATGATGGCGCAACTTTGTGGATTGGTTGAAGTTAGACATTAACACCGTTTGATGCCGGTTCAGTGGTCTAGTTGGTTGAGCACCTGGCGCCAGACTGATAGGTCCTGGGTTGGAATCTCGTGGGGTGCGGGATCGTGGATGCGCAATGCTGAGGAGTCCCGTACTGGGATGAGACGGCCGTCCAGTGCCTCCAGGTTTTCCATGGTGGTCTAGCTTCAATTAACTCATGATTTCAATCTGTGAAACATTTCATGCAATTATTAAAAAGCATTAAAACTATCCGATCAACACTGTGGTGCAAATGCATTCAGCTTACAAGTCCTGAGTACAATGAAACATGTGTACTTAAATTTCACTGTTAAATACAATCTATCCATTCTATAAAGATTACTAGAGTTGTTTTATTCTTCTATAGTAATAATATCTAATATTTTTCATTAAATAATACAGTATTTACTATAAGTAACTAAGAAATACCCACTGAATACACAGTAGAAAAGAATAGTATTTATATATATATATATATATATATATATATATATATATATATATATATATATATATATATATATATATATACAAGTGGAAAATAACAATCTTCACTTACTCATTCATTCTATATGTATTGAGGATTAAGTTTGATTCAATGAAAAACAAATGAAAATCCGAAAAACGTTCATTGTTCTAATCTTTCATATTAAATAATTGTAGTAATCATACTAAGTAGACTTTTACTGATACAGTTGGCTATATCACCTGATTATCAACTTACCCAAAAATTGACTTTTAACCAATCATTTTCATTCATTGTATGTGCAAGCACATACTTTGTACACACGCTAACCATCTACTAAATATAACCATTTGTAGGTGTATTTTTTGTCATGTGAAAAATCAATTAATTTTTGAATACAATATATGACCCTGTTTGACTTAATGGTTGGTAAATAAAACCCTGTATCTATCTATCTATCTATCTATCTATCTATCTATCTATCTATCTATCTATCTATCTATCTATCTATCTATCTATCTATCTATCTATCTATCTATCTATCTATCTATCTATCTATCTATCTATCTATCTATCTATCTATCTATCTATCTATCTATCTATCTATCTATCTATCTATCTATCTATCTATCTATCTATCTATCTATCTATCTATCTATCTATCTATCTATCTATCTATCTATCTATCTATCTATCTATCTATCTATCTATCTATCTATCTATCTATCTATCTATCTATCTATCTATCTATCTATCTATCTATCTATCTATCTATCTATCTATCTATCTATCTATCTATCTATCTATCTATCTATCTATCTATCTATCTATCTATCTATCTATCTATCTATCTATCTATCTATCTATCTATCTATCTATCTATCTATCTATCTATCTATCTATCTATCTATCTATCTATCTATCTATCTATCTATCTATCTATCTATCTATCTATCTATCTATCTATCTATCTATCTATCTATCTATCTATCTATCTATCTATCCAACTTTGTGTTTCATTATTTGGGCCCATTGTTTCATCGAGTGTAGGCATTGGTACGGAATCTATGCTCAGGGTTGATTTCCGGTTGCTTTCAACTAATTGACAATTAATTAAATATTATTTCTAAGTTAATAAGGTACAGGTTTTAAACTTTGTTATTTAATGTAACATTTATGAGTGAAATTTTTTTTGAATGTAGATCATATGTCTTTGAAATTATCGTCCAATAATTGAAGTCAAATAGAATGTTCATCGTGCAAAGAAGTGTAACTTGACGAAAAATTTGGTATCATTCCATAATGTCATTGATCGACTGACTGACTGACTGACTGACTGATTTTGACGAAGATATTATGGTTTGTATGAAATCATCTTCTTTAAGCTAGTGAATTTAATCGTTAGAATGTCATTCAATTTCAAGAATACAACTTCATCAGAGTTAAAAGATGTAAAAACTACAGACATTTGAATTTGGCAGGTTGTGAATATTATTGACCAAAATTTCAGTGACAATTTACTTTATGAATGTTAGAGAAATAATTTGTAACTGGGTATGCTACATTATCATAGTTGTAACTTTTTAGTGTTATATGTCACATTTGAGACCTAACAATTCAAAAATGTCCTAGTATCATATTGAGTACGAATAATATGAAATTTACTTTACTATACTAAACGAGGTTTTCAAATAATTGGACTTTGATGTGACCTAAGAAATTGTCTTTCTCTTATTATATAATAGAAATAAGTAATTGAATGAGATTAGTTTTAATTCAGTGTAATTTTGATGTAGTATTTATTCAGAATGCTGTTTACAAAATTGAGAGGACAAAAAGCGAATGTTTGGTGTTTCAACCGAGTTGGTGGATATGGGGGATCCATCTAGGGGAGTCGGAAAACTCTGATTCCAAACCAATGGTAGACATGGGATCCAGGATCTTGAGGGAACAAATGGCATATGAACCAATTATTGGTCACAGACTACCATGAGACTGCATCTCTTGACGTTACTCCATTGCCTTGTGGATTAGACCTTTAGGTCGAAGGCTCCGGGTGTGGCCTCCTAAGAAAACCGCCTGTTTCGATTTGGGCACCCGGGCAGTATCACAGCCTTGACACAAATCAAGTGACTTTTACGGTGCATATGTATGTGTTCAAATAAATAAATAAAATATAAACATGATGATACTTATTTATTTTAGTATGGTATTTAACGCACTTTTCTATGGATTAGTTTATCATAAACTTCGTTTAGTAGGATATAAACTGTTCCTTTCGTATTATGTCAGTTGTAAGTGATTTTCGTTAACTAATGATAAAATATTTGTAAACTTTATGAGCGCTTGCAATAGAGATTCACGTCTGCTCATTTCTTTTAAAAGTATGGAAATGTAATACGAAATAGCTGTATATAGACTTTTAATTGTGTTTGATGTCCCGTCATTCACTATCAATCAGTTCATGACAAGAAAAACTAAAGTTAAAAGTATTTTTATCTCGTATTTCTTTATTATCTTGATCTGAACTCATTCAGCAAAATGAAAAAATGTTGTACATCTCTTAAGACTTCACGAATATCTCTCGACAAAATCTCTTAGAGCCCAGATAAAGGTAGAAAACGTTTCATCTAGTTAGCAATGGTTGAAAGCTTCTTATAAACATCTAGAAAATTGAAAGATTATATATTATGTTATTCGTAAGGGCGGCCTGCTTGAGCATGTGGGCTACCTGTTCCTGCCATCTAGATATTTCAACAAGTTATCTATTGTTGTTTGTTTTAATGTATCATTATGTTTATTAATCGCATAACCTATTCTGCTGCGTTTCTGAAAAGTGTACAACCTTTCGTTGTCAGAGTTACAAAAAACTCAATAAGAGACAATATGGTTGCTGGCAATATACAACGAAAAGAATGTACATTATTCAGTTGTTCATTCACTGAAGTGCTAACATCTAACTGGCGATCCCTCAATATTTATCGCCAGGACGGACCAAGAAGAGAGAAACGGAAACTTGTTGAAATACTTTGTGCTGAGAATTCTATATTGTACCAAAATTATAATATTGAATAAAGCTAATAATAATAATAATAACAATTGGATAATAACAGTATTTAATATACTTTCAGAAGTTTCTAGAGTACTAAGGTTAGCTAGAATTCTATAAATATACCCGATTTTCTGGACATAGATTAATTTCAGTATATTGCTTTTATTTATGCTTCATGCCATTTTTTCAATGGTTTGGATTCAAGTATAGATTTAGTCTATATTTATAGGAAACAGCTTAAAAAACTAGTAACAAGCATTCAAATAACAGATGTGTGAGCATACTCCCTATAATTTTTCATTTAGTAGTAACCAACTAATGGTTTGTAAGCAATGATGGATAGTGGCTAGCAGTGAAATCCAGGACACGTGCTTCGTCCCATTTGGGACTCGTCAGTTGGATGTACCTGCATCTCAGAGAGTTGATGTTCACTCTGCGACTCGAACCCAGTACCATTCGCTTCAAACTTCATCGCGTTATCCACTCAGTTACTGAGTCTTGATAGCCACTTGCTTGTACAATGGGGTGAATTTGAATTCACTTGGAATTTTTTAGCTCGTAACTCCCCATTGAGGTTTAAGATTGCAATTGACCAGTCTGTTATTGGCATATGTACATACTGTGCGTATGCCTCGATATTACCTTAACGCAGTCTTAAACCTCAATGGGAAGATACAAGCTAAAAACTACCAAGTGAACTCAACTAATGGTTGTTTCTTTCTATTTGAACAGTGATTTTATCAATACCAAAATTATGTAATCAGTATACACTATATTATTGATCAGTATAATTGAAACCAGAACATTTATTATTAAGGAGTGAAGATGAAGATTTTTTTTCTACCATATAATGTAATATCGATTAATGTATAGTCTGATAAAACTGACAAATCAACACCATTGATAGCACTATATAAGAAAAACAACAACAACTGAATTGATCCACTTTCATTTCATACATTTTATATTCAAGTAACATTTGTCTTCAACATTTTGTTTAAATGTTCTTTTAATCTTTCTCTCTTTCAATAATCTTTTACCTTTCTCGTTCCACTATCTTATCTTTATTATGGAATTTGTTTTTAATAAGGGATGATAGTGAATAATTTTTAATGACAGATTTTCCTTTAATAACGGTTCTCATTTAACTACTGTTATTTATGTACCAGACTAAGTGACTAGAGAGGGGGGGGGGCTACCGGAGGTAAACATAAACAATGTGGTAGATTTTTTTTGGCTTTAAAAGTTAAACAGAACGTATATATATGGATACAGACACATGTTTGGAATCATGTTGGGATTATATATTATATACAAAGACTTCTGATATTCTGTTAGGATAAATAAGTTACTTTACACCAAGTTATTTTTTGTATAGATCATAATTAAAGTGCTTTGAAATGTTGTTGTTTAGATAGTAATAAAATTAGAAATTGAATTTTCATTCATATTTTAGGTAAATCAGGTTCCGTAGTTAAGTATATTTAAAATGATTTGAAATATAATTTGATGTTCTACATCACGGACTGACTTTACCTGGAAAACTATTGAAAACAAGATAGGATTCGACAATTATTTTGTTTTAATATGGAACTACTCACTGGTGTCATATTCCTACGATCCCATTAGGAATCAAATCTTGGACTATCAGGTTTTTAAACTATCGAGTAACCTTGAGAGTATTAATTTGGCATCCATTACTTTATATTTCATTACTTCAATCAACATATGATGTCACTCAACAATCACCTATTATCTCATTCCTAATATGACTGAACACTACTGGTCATTGCTTTACACTTGAACTTCGAGAATTAGTTCTCAGAGTTAGTCATTATTATATGTCAGTGTTGTCTATCAGGGTAAATCGTTTCCAACAACAATCTTTTCAAATTTTTATGATATTTGTCTTTGTCATCGTATTTTTTGTACAGGTGTTTATGTACACATGTTGTATCTGTTATTCAGCTATTTGATTCTTGCAAGCAACTCCTCAATGTTAATATTCATCCACAACCCTAAATAGGATCGAAGTACAAGTAGTCCATGATGAAATCTATAAAATTGAACGGTAATTACGAGACATTTTAATGGTGTAGTAAAAAAGGAACTGTGAATTAAAAAGCGAAATATGGAGAGAAAAACAATCA